GCTCTACACACTTCAACCATTCAGGTATCTCCCCCCCCGTTTATTCTTTGCGCCCACCGTCAAACTGGCCACAATAAGCAAGTATGAAAGTCTGTATCTGTACACAACATCTTGCTGCTAATAAGCATTATTGGTTACTGGCATTCCTGGACTATTTTAACGCAGATGGCAGAATGGAAGCTGAGCCCCAAATAATACCTGTTCACGGAGGCAACAAGGAAAATAAATAGAATGGCGAGTTATTGCGACTGAGTCAACCACCTTTGCGCATTTAGCAGAGCAACAGAAGAAGTGGGTTTGCTGTGTTTGTCACATTGTGATTTAGTAAATGATCCCAGCAACCGACTTTAACAGAATTCTGACAGCTTTGAAAACCTTCCGATGTTAAGCAAGACATCGATATAAATTGAGGAAAGACAGACAGGTTGATTTGCCTCAAGAGTGGTTCCATGTTGAAATGCATTTTCGTTGAGAACCTTTGTTCTTGATCTTGAAACCATTCATCAAACTGCTACAAAATCTTGCAAACTGTAAGCTGTTCACTTCATTAATGAAGGGTGACTGTAGGCGTGACGCAGCCATTATTGTGAACCTTTATTTGAATGAATGGTTAACAAGACCATCATATATCATCAACAGACTATTTGTGATTAAAATAGAGGGTGATTCTCAACTTTTCAATTTGAGGTCGTTATTTCTGACAGAATTGTCAGAAAGGCATGAAGAAATGTCGGCTGCCAGTTTCCACTATCTATGCCGTAGGAGTTTCAAACAAAGTAGCTTCACATTTGGTACATTAGTAGACGTTACTGAAACAACATCTGAAGCTCGTTAATAGAATGATATAAAAGCTTTCTAATACAGCGTTTCGGAAAGCAACCTCGTGGTCTCTCCGCGGGGCGTATTCCAAGTGGAAACGAAGCAGTGCTTTACAAGCAGCCGAGTTCAACTTTAAGAAAATATAAATATTGACAACAACGATTGACTGATTCTTCTTCGAAACTAATGGGGATCGTCCTTACCCAGTCTCGATTATTAAGTTCGTCTGTGTTATGCAACTGTCGCTATAATCTTCCACAGTTCTCCCTTGGCTCATTATATTCCATTTTGCTGATACTTTGGCCGATGTCTTCCAAATGAGCGCTTGCTGCCCCCAATCAATTACTAAAGGAGTCAGTCCTTTATCAACACCTTCGAAAAAAAACATAAAGAGTACAATACGACGAGGATTAAAGCTAACCAAAACTGCAATGACGAATAATGCAGGCGACGTGCACAGCTCAGAGAATCAGATATATCAATGTCAATGCAAATGACACGTTCGCTGAATGCTCTTTTCGGCTAGAACGACAAACGCCTGAAGGAAATGATTCAAAAATTTGTGATTTAACTTTACTCCACTTCGGTAACTAAACAATTGCGGGTGCAAGCTCAGATGAGAAAAAAGAGGCTTGAGGACCATTGCAAGGATCTCCACCAAAACCTATCCATGTCTCTAACGATATTGCCGTTATCGAACACTGTATCGGTGTTCAGTCCCGCAAAGGGTAACTAAGAGCCTCGTAGATTACGTTAGCAAAATCAGTTTCATGTCTTTTGGCATCGAAGGATGTAGCAGCATTACGACGGCTAAAAAATACTAAGTTTACATTACCAGTGACCAACACCAGGTGGCAATAGATCCGCTAGTCGTTCTGAACGGAAGCAGTCAGCGGGATGCCCTTGATGAACTCCATATAAGTTTTCTCGAGAACGGTACCGACAGTGTGAGCTCAAGGTCGTAAATCAGATAATGTCTTCGCTGAGAGGGAAAGAGTAGGAGCTAGTTGACGAGGCCGTAAGGTACCAACTGGACCTAGTTAAACTGTCATCTATGAAGCGCAGGGCTCTGAAATTCGGAATCTTTGGAAACTATTCTAATC